ATTGCAGATGGGCAGGTAATATGTTTTTATCAATCTACATCTCTGTCTGAATTCAAGACAAGAACAATAACGAATAGTACACTGGCACAGATCAACTTCAACTTTAGTTGCATAGTGCATGAGTTAGTTGGATTTTCTTTTTGGTTGTCATATTTGAGTGTGTTACAACTGTATATTTTAACTGTCATTTCTGTATCTGTTCAGGTAACTAGAAGTGTTGATACTGGCCGTGGACAATTAAGTCCGCAGGAGCAGAAAACGGTGGATGCAATCGTACAAGCAAGGTACTTGCCTCTAGTTTCCCTGTGCTGACTGGCATTCGTATTTGTAAAATCTTTTAGTTCTGTTACATGCTGCTTTTTCATACTTATGCTCAAACTCCACAGTGCATTGTCTTATTTCGTGCAGCAAGTTTCCCTTGTCAATTATACTGGTTGGGGTTGGCGATGGACCGTGGGATATGATGAAGGAATTTGATGATAATATTCCTGCTAGGGACTTCGATAATTTCCAGGTTGGTGGTGGTGGTCTAGATTGTGGTGTCTCTTATTGCTTGTCTAGGAACATTTTCCTTTTATGTGGTTTAATTGCTAATTTATTTTGCTAGTTCGTCAATTTCACGGACATAATGGCCAAAAATGTGCCTCAATCTCGAAAGGAGACGGAGTTTGCGCTTTCAGCATTGATGGAAATCCCTTCACAATACAAAGCGACGATGGAACTTAACTTACTGGGGTCAGATTCCACTCTGCCTATTTATTCATGTATTTCTTTGTTTTCATTCTGCTATACGTCTCTCCTGACCTCCCCTGTCAAGTTGTAGGTGATGACATATTCTAATTTCTTAATTGCAGTGGACAAAGTGGAAAATCTGTCAATAGGGTAGCTCTTCCTCCTCCTATGTATGGGGCAAGTTCTGTCGGTGGTTCAAAGACCTCACATGCACCAAGTTTTCAGCAGCCTGCAAGCTCGTATTATGGTTATGGAAGCCCTGCAGATGCAGAACCACATTTTCAGCCGACTTCAAGTTCTTACTACGACAGTGCTCGCCCAGTTGACAATGCTCCATCTGCTCCGAGTTCGCCCTACACTGCTCCCAGTTCTACCTATGACAATCAGGTAAACCATAAACTCACATTTGCTTTATAATGCTGCATTTTTCAATTTCTTTTGATCTTCTGTTGCTGGTTTTACAAATAAACTGTGCGTGTTCTCTGGAATGAATGTTTTCCATCATTGTGCAGGTTTGCCCCATTTGTCTTACTAACCCAAAAGACATGGCCTTTGGCTGTGGGCATCAGGTACCTTTTTTTTCTCCTCCCATTAAGCAGGCCTGATGTTTTGAGGAAATTAAACGTTGTTGTGACTTAACACTGTCGTGTTGCTGATGCAGACATGTTGTGAGTGTGGGAGAGCGCTTGAGAATTGCCCAATATGTCGAAGTTCAATTCAAACCAGAATAAAGCTCTATTGAGCTGCTTGTTTTGCCCTGATTCCTTTTGCTATTCCAACCTGCAATGCTTTTTGATCAGTTTGGATGTGAAACCATGGTGATGAAGCTGATTTTTTTATTTGTTGGATATGGCTTTGGCCTTGTGCTAATGCAAATTTCCTTCTGTACATGGCTTGGTTCTTGTTTGTGTTTTGCTTTTGCCAAATTACTTTACTTCCAACTATAGAAGCATAAGATCCCTAGATTCAAATTGTCTGTAAATCAACTGTTTATTGTGCAGTGACCTTTAAAGAGTCTTGTGCTGATACTAGACCTAATACATTGCCATTTGTCAATATGTACCGACTATTTTCCACCAGAGAATGTGCAAACAAAGAAGAATGTGATTCAGGAACAAGAATATTTCATAAGAGCGAGCGAGAAGGTGATTTCTATCCGATCATTTTGGTGGACACGATTATTTGGTATATGTTGCTTATGAGAGGTAAGCAGGAGGGGTCTAGTGGTCGATGAAGTGAGGAGAATAGCGAGTTTTTGGGTTTACACCTCAGCGGAAACAAAAGTAGTATGGTATTGATTGTTTCTCATTTTGTCCAAGTTTTAAGTGGATATAGTATTAGCAAGCAAGTTGGTCAGACACTATATAATATATATAAAAAGAGATAAGAAAGAGAAATGAAATTGGAAATAAGTCTAACATTAACCAAATGATTTGGATGTTGTTCAAGCAGAATTTCTTTCGTTGTCGAAATAGATAGAATATTACAAGGCTTCTTATTTAATTTTGACGCATTTTATTCTCTTAAATTATTAGTTTTCAAATTACTCTGTGAATATGACTATTTAATAGCTTTACCCTTCCGTACCATCTCAATTATTTACATCCCCACATGCCTAAACAAAGTGTAGGCACTCTCCTTGCTACAACAATGTCTAGAGGCTATAAAATAAAATAATGAAATTCACAATTTGGAACAGAAGCAATTAAATACAGTTAAATGATTCATCTATTTTAGAATAATCTATGAAGTCGACTCTTTTGCTTTTTATTACAAATGTGGCCCTATATGTGTGTGCATCACGATTCACTACAACCTATTTGATTGTATAAGTAAAATTTGAAAGGTAAAATTTTTTTACAGATTCTATTGTGTGTGCACTGCACAATAAATATTTAATTTGCACTAAATGGTAGTGGGTAACAAGAAAAATGGAGCATGGTCCATATAAAAGATACTTATATTATATTCACAAGTACTACAAACTAATCTGTTTTTTCTGGTATAGATTTTAAGAAAGAAAATTTCCCTTTCAACAATTCTTCCATTACTTAATCTCTTTATATCGTAAAACAAACAAAGAATCTTAGCCCCACAAGTGCTAACTCAAAAAAGATACTTCAATTAAATAATATATTGCGTTAAAATTTTGATTGTGCCTCTCTAGTGACGTGAACAGTTATCTTCCTGTGCTACTTACTTATCCACAAGCTCCGTTTTAGGTGGTGTTTCAATTGCATTTAATGCACGCAACAAACTGCATACCTACAACCCCACAATGTAGTTGTGCGTTAATGACATACATACACCATATATTTACTCAATCATCAATGATAAATACATTGATGGCGTAAATAATTTTCTTTTACTATCGTTAACATTTTTCTCCATATAATTGCTCACAAGCGCATAGTGAAAGAAAAATCGCTTGAGCTTTTTCCATTTACAGAGCTTCGGGTCAAGCAAGACTCGAAACAATCTCTCTTTTGAAAGAAGTTCAATTCGAGATTTCTAGTTAAGTATGTGAGTATATTTTAACTTGTTATTAAAGAGAATGAGGTTGATGGATACACTTTGTTCTAACCTTTTCAGTACTCTGTTTGTTTCAGCTCGTCTATCGGAAATGTCATACACCGCTGTCCATCGGATTCCGTACCAGAAACTCAAAGAAGAAAGCAGCTACTTGGAAGATGGAGATATTGATTTAATAAACCTGAGAGAAAAGGTGATTGGGCAACTTAGGAGAAAGCCCTCTTCGTTCAGAAAAGTGCATCTGAGGAAGCGATTGAGGATTAAGGTACCCAACTTGAAGAAATTCTTAAGGAGAAAATCTAGAATAATCGTGGCCGCACTGGATAAAATTTTGAGGAGGTTGAAGGAAAGCCAGTCACATTTTGGGGATCTTTTTGCTGGAAATTACATGTTTATGCACGTCTCTCCGACTCCATTGAAAATTTGTGCCCAAAATCCCAAATCTCCCCATCCGAGAGCTGATTACCTGCCTAATAGATTAGGTTCCGCTAGGTATTATGATTAGTTTTAGCATCTATTCATTTCATTATGTTCTTAAAGTATCTTTGAATATTTGGAGTTTATGGTAAAAGCTTCGCATTTGCCTGATCTCTACTACAACAACAAACAAACAATCTGGTCTGAGAAGATAGTGTGTACGCCGATCTTTTAACTCGTTGTTTTCCAAACAAAAATATAAATTTTCACCCTCTGTTACAATTTGGAGTCATTTACATTCTCATTGTTAGGTAATGATTTTGTATTTGTTATTGATTTTAATGGAACTTCATCATAAATTGGGTGAACTCCACGAGCCAAAATACTTGATTTCGAATTAATTAGGATAAATCGAAAGCATTATGACATGCCATGGTTAATTTCCCAGATGATGAATGTTAATGGCGATTACAAGTTTTTGGATTTGATGATTACAGAACACAGATAGGTAGGTGTTGGGGGTTGGCAAAAGTAATTACGTACAGTACTGTATACAGACAAGGATTTAAGATTTGCAAATTGCTGTGACATAATATCAGACTTCCTAACTTGCTCCTTTCTCAAAAGAAGAAATATTCAGTTTGATAGATACAAGAATAACTTATAAGAGACGTACTCAATTTGAAAGATAGTGATCATTCATACCTCAAAACGTACTAATTTCATTATTTTTTTTGATCATTTTCGTTTGTTGTCATCGAACTTAGCAAATAGGCATATTGGTCAACTTCAATATGAAGTGATATTCTAAATGTGTTAACCACAAAAAAAATGAGTGGAAAACATAGTTTTGAATAAGCAGCAAACCAAAATCAGAATAAACAAATAATTATAATAACAAAATAAATCACTGTCTACATGTATGCATCATGCATTTAATACTCTCTCGCGAAAAAAAGAAGAAGTCATTTTCAAAACATAAATTTATAGGTATTTTTATGTTTATCTTTTTCTTCCTCTGAGCATTTTTTATGATGCAAATTTGAATTAGTTAAGTCAATAAATTTTATGATATCAGAGGATCAAAATTAAACAATAAAAAGGAATTGTTGGTCGCGAGTTGTCGAGACTACCAGGCGGAATTATTTCTACCATCGCTCTGCCTCCCTTTCAGATATGAGTAATAAATAGCAAGATGATTACACTCTGCATTTAATCTTCTGGTGTTTGGTAACATTAATCTTTAACTCTACGAATGATAAATTTGTAGAAGAGAAGTTGTCAATAAGTTAATAGCAATGTGAAATGGAGATAGAGGCTCTTATCAAAACAACAATCCATGTACTATATTAACATTGAATGCAACTCAAACACCACATGTACTGGAATTAACAGCTCCTTAAGAACCTATTTTACTCTGAATAATATGAGTAAATTGAGTCAACTGAATTTGAGCTGTACAAGTCTAGTGAGGGACCAAAGCAAGTTCATGAGTATCATTACAATTTGGAACCCTATTGTACACTAGCTGCAGCATCCACCTCTTTGAGCAACTGCTCCATCCCTTGGACCAGCTGGACCTTGCGTACGCCCATAACCAACCTTGATTCCAGATGACTACAACAGTAGCAAGTGAGGTATGTTAGAAAATTTATCAATGATAACGTTCATTCCAAGGGGATAAAAAAAGTATAACTGTGTACAGATCCGAAACAACTCCTTGGTTGGGACACCCCAATTTCAGGCCCACTAAAACTTACCCCTCCATTTATAGGAAGTTAACAACCAACTAAACAACGATTTCACCCATCTAAGTTGCCCATATCCAGAGCTTGCAAACAAACGATCTTATCCTATTTTAGTTACTCATGCAGATTCTAAAACGAGATGCTCATGAAAGCAGTACAATTAGCAATGATGAAAATGCCTCGTCATACATTTACGCGGAAAACTAACTGTTTACCTCGTTGGAGACATCAAAAACACCTTCTTGGATCTTTTGAAGTATCTTGGCAGCAGTCTGTATAAAGGCCTGTGAATGCATTGCATTAGTTTAAGAAATTAGCTTCAATGGAATTTGATAAAAGTGATATTGTAGATAAGAGATGCCATGGGCACCGGCTAATATGTATACCTCCTCAACACTTTGAGCAGTTCTAGCAGACGCCTCAAGAAACAAAAGCCCATTTTCTTTTGCAAATTGTTCTCCCTCCTCTTTACTGACAGCTCTTCGATGAGACAGATCACTCTTATTTCCTACCAGCATTATAGTCATATTTGGATTTGCATGCTGCCTAGCATCTTCAAGCCAGCTGGCTAGGTGATTAAATGTCTCTCTCCTAGACAACAGAACAATTACTAGCTTTAACAAAGTGATGAAAAATCATGCAAGAAATGAAAATCAGAATTAAATACTAGAACCATCGGAGACAATCATTCCGCAAGATGTGTAAATGTGATCATATAGGTACTGATACAACTGAGCTAGTGCTCTGCTAGAATCATCACATGGACTTAACTAATCTGATGGAAAATATCCCTGTCAAGTTACCAGTTTCCATTTATTCAACTTGTCGGTATAATTTTACTCCAAGAATCCAATATTATGTAAAAAAAACCGAACATACTTCTCTTATTACAATTACAATCTGCTAGAATATGTACATGATACACCAATAATGCACACACTTCATTAGTTCATACAATTTATATGCTACCTACTTATAATTTCCATGTCCAGCCAAAAATTCTAAAGTTACTTGTGTCACTTTCGGTGAACTACAGCAATTGGAATGATTAGTAAAGTTCATCAAATCAATGTTGCAACAACAAAAGTATTGCCCATTTAGTCCACAAGATGGTGTGTTTGGTAGGGAGGGGATGTTTTCCATAGAAAATACGTGAGGTTTTATACTTATTTTCTTGCATTTGGTATATATGCAAAAAAATATTATCCAAAAGCATTTGGTATATTATATAGGAAAATACTAAAGGAGGTTGGGGTAGAGGGGCAGGGGATGAGGGACTATGGGGGTGGGGCCTGTTGGAGGGTGGGAGGGTGCAATATGTGTGGTATGCCACTTCCATCATGGAAGTCACTTTCCTCATTTTTGAAGAATTTGTTTCCTAGAGAAAATTTTCCAAAACTTCGACCAACCAAACATGGAAAATTGAAAAAAAAAAAAACTTTTTCGCTGTGTTTGCAATGGAGGGTTGGTCAATGTTTTTAGATAACACGTCTCTAGGAAAAAAAGTTCCCTAAATAGAAAATATTTTCCTCCATACCAAACACATCCCAAGTTAAAGTTTTAAATATCTTATTTCTGCATATTAATGACTTGAAGGGAAGTGGAATGTCTACAGGAATCCTCAATTAGTGTTTCATACGATCAGAGACCAGCTTGACATCTCAAGAATTTTTGTCTCTACAGTAAAGCAGGGCTTCTGTGCAAGAGGATTTGGCAATTGAAAAGGCAAAAGCCCCCCAAAAGAAAATATAAAAAGGGAAAAAGTAAAATTTTCTCCTACAACAAGATTCTCAGCTGATAATAACCAGATTTTTCAAAGAAGCAAATGCAAGTTTACGTGTGAGCTATCATAGGTTTATGTGTACAACAAACAGCAATGGGATTATACCTGGTGATGTCATAAACCAGAAGTGCGCCAGCTGCTCCTCTGTAATATGACCTGGTGATGGATCTGAAAGATTCCTGCCCAGCCTAGAGAAAGAAAGGTCCATGGAGGGATGGAGAGTTATATATCACTGTAATTGAAATGCTGATAGAATAAGAAATTAATTTGAATAAAAAAGATACTGAGTGATCCACAATTATTAAGTACATGTATATCCCCTAATTGCATAGCTTTTGTCCGTTCTTCCACAATCCAAGGGTTGGAAAATGCAATATTTGACCAAGAGTTAATGTAATATGACAGCAGTTTAAAGCGAAACACCTCATAATACATACATGTAGTTTCTTAGATTTAATGTAATATGACAGCAGTTTAAAGCAACTTGACCATCAAAAAGTGAAAAAGGATAGAAGTTCAAGCATCAAATAGGTTGTCTTTTAACATAGAGATAGCCGTCAGTTTAACATCAGTTTATGTTAAGTTGATTGTTTGAAGAACGAACAACCAAGGGTTAGACAGGAAATGTGTAGCATCATACTTAAATTTGATCACGCACACATAGTTGACATGGTAAAAACGCCCACACCCCTACCCCCAACTCTCCCCTACTCCAAAAAATAAATTCCAACCCGCGAGTACCAATGCCACTTTGTACCCTTGGTGACTCAAACCCCAACCCAATATTCGCAGATCCCCCCTCCTTGATCTGACTGTGCAACTTATTTAAGATCATGAGTAAGTTGTATGGCTTCTAACTGTATATCACCTATGCAGAATGCATGAAACACTATGGCCACGTCCTTATCAAAAAAATGCTATGGACATGTGAAATAAAAACTAGATCACAAACAAACAACCATCTCGGAACATGTCTTCCTACTCGTAATGAAAAGCGACCAAACAGCCTGAGAACTTTACCTAGCACTTCCCCCTAAAACTATGCAGGACTAGGCCATAGGTACTCAAGTTTGGATTAAATCAAGGAAATGTAATTAACTCTACATAAGATGATCCAACAACTATTCATTGATGAACACAAATTAAACATAGGAAATTAAAAACTTAACTCCAATTTTTCTTAAAAATAATACTCAATTGCAAATTTACCATTCAACCTTAAAATGTTTGTACCAGCATCATGTCCCAGTTGAGTGCAGAGACTGGCACTCGTGCAATCCTGCATCACCTAGCACCTACCGTTCCATTTCTTCAGATATGTATGATAGTTCAAATTTTTTATCCTTAAAAACTTTGGCATTAAAGTGTCAATGATGGTGCAATTTTCACTAAGTTTGACCGGGAGCAAAGACAGAGAGAGTTGATGTCAAAGTTCTACTCATAGAGACCAAGAGACATGGTCAGCAAGTTTGCTAGTCCTATTGTTAGAGGACTCAAAAAGACTGTACCTAGTTCACTTTACACAGCTAAAGGATTTTCCTAAAAGCATTGACGTTTAATATATACTTAGTTTTCCCTTTGTCTATTTACTTTGAGGCAAGGATAGGAAAACTGATAGCAATCCGATTTGTGGAGATTACAGAGGAGAACAAGAGCCGAAGAACAGTAACCAGAGCAGCACCAAGTTAAATAGAGACTTCTGATGAGTGTGTACTTTTCTCAAATGTTACCGTACTTAATGACGTATGATTTCTAATTATAGATACGTGTACAGCGACCAAGTATTCAATGCGATATCAAACAGTCAAAATTTAAAGCTAACTGGTGAGAGAACAAGCGGAAAAATCTATTACAGTGTCCCAAATTTGAAGTTTAATAGGCTTGCCGTCAATGGTGACCATACGAGCCCCAAACTCGACTCCAATGGTGAGATCATGCACTGGCTGAAACCTCTTGTCTGTGAATTGCAGCAGCAGACACGATTTTCCGACTCCTGTTGAAATAAAGTAATCCGTACGGTCAATTAGGGTTTCAAAATAGACAAAAAGCAGAGTAAACTAGACAAAAAAGAAAATGAAGAGATGAAAGAGAGTTTAACCTGTATCTCCGATGATTATGTACTTGAAGAGATAATCGTAAGACATTTTCCGATGAAGAGAAGCGCCGGAGCAGAGTTATGCAGTCGGAGAAGTTAAGACAGTTGGAAAAGAGTCAAAGATGAGCAACGTAAGTATGAAGAAAGCAAAGACGAGAGAGAGGGGGAAACGGATAACACTAAAATAAAGTAAAGTAATGTAATGTAAGAGGTGACGTCCAAATTTTGTATACAGATTTTATAAGGAAACGTATATAAGCAAAGCATCTTTCCGGAACATCCCCGTTCCCTTTTCCTCGCATAAAATTGACACTTGATATTTACATTAAATAAGTAAATATACCTATTTATATGAAATTTAATGTTTAATTATATTATTTTCATTTTTAAAATAATGATCATATTTCATTTTTATTCCTTATCAGATTTTTTTTTGCCAATAATTTAATTTTAATTTTCAGTTTAAGATCATAAGATTAAAAGATATTTTAATATATTTAACATAACTTTAATTTAGAATCACAAAATTAAAAAAAAAAAAATTTAAAAAAAAACAGAGGGAATAATTGATTTAATCTTTGTATAACATTTTTGTAAGACCAAATGTTTGAATATTTAAATATAGTCCATTCTAACATTTTATTCATACTTTTATTACGTTTAGTAAATTCTTTTGTATTTATTAATAATGTTAAAGTAAGTAGATCTGTTTAAAAGTATTTTGCAGAAAAAGTTTAAATTTGCTCTGATTTATGACTTTATAATTATCATCTATTTTATTAAAGGTTAGAATTTTTTTAAATTTAAGATAAATTCAAAACAATATCAATCATTGTAAGGGTGAATGACTAAAGTATAAAGTATGATAAAAATTAAAATATTTTGTACATGAGAAACTTATTTATATTATTATCATTTTTAACATCTAAATAATTTTGCAACGTAACTTACAAATTCATTTCTACCCTGGATATATTATGCAGTACTATATGATTTAACTTATAATAGTGGAGATACTAATTGTAATTATGTTTTCTATAAGAGATCATAGAGCTACGACCATTTCTTCTTTTGTTTTGTTCATTCCTCGGCGACTCAAACACTCTTTTAACAAAGAGAATTATCATAGATCAATTAGTTAAAGTTTTATTAGAATTTGATTTTTCGCTAATTTCCAAAATGCCTTTCTGAATATTTCTTAATGTCCCGGCTAATCACGGAACAGGAGAAGCAGATGATAAATCATCTGTTTCCTTCTAATTATTTTCCTTGTGGATTAAAATTCTAATTTAATTGCTAGTAACGCACTTTGGAAATTGATGTTGTATGGCCTACAGACTTTGTAAGAAAGAACAAATAAACCTATAAAGATATTTATGTCTCATCTTTCTACTATTACTTTTAAGGTAAGAAAAAGCTTGGGGCGATAGAGTATGTATATCATTTATTATTTTAGTCTATTTTTAATTTTTATAGTCTTTTTTTCGAGTCAAATGATAAATTTGACTAATATTTTATGATATAAAAAAATTAATAGTTATAATACTTTTCATATAGTTTTAAAATATCAAATTACTGTAATCTAATTTAATTTTGAAAATTAATCAAATTGACTTTTAAAAAACACAATTTTGACAATTAAAAATGTATAGAGAGAGAGAGAGAGTAATATGGTAACCAAACGTTATGCTAGAAAAGGATTCCATAGAGTAGTCAAACAATTGATGAAATGAATATCATAAATGTTTTAGTTAAATTTAAACAATGTAACTAATTCAACAACTTTTTCCTTAAACAAACAATAATACTTAAATAACATTTTTTGTTTCCGTCTCCAAAGCTATTAGCAATCCTTTTGGGAAGTCCATATATGGGTATAACATTGGATATTCTTCTTCTTTCATTGTCCACCTACAAAATAGATGATGATTATTTTATCAGATGATCAAATATAATTTTTTTTCTAAAAAAGGCAAAAAATGAAGATGAATAGTATAAAAAGAAATACAATTTAAATAACACTTAAAATTAGTAAAATGGTATTTATTTATTTTTACTGATTGCCATATTAAATACCTGTAATTGAGGAGAAGATAGTGTAGGAAGAAAGATGCTTCTAATTTACCAAGCTCTGATCCAGGACACAATCGGGATCCACCTCCGAATGGGACCACATTTTTGCTTGTAGCTGGATCCTGAAATTTTTTTTACTTGGCTTTGTATCCTCACACTTGCGGTTACTGAAAGTCTATATTATATTGCTTTAGAAAAATTTATATGTGAACAAAATGACGAAAACTTACAGTCCATCTCCAAGGATTAAACTCCGATGGATTTTCATGCAGCGACGGTTCAAGATGTACTGCAGACAAAATAGGAAGCACTTTCCAGCCTGCTGGAATATGATATCCTGGAATCCAAGAACAATGATTAAAAAAAGAAAAATTTGTATTTTATGTATATTTAATCTACGCTTAAGAATAATATATTCTCTTTAATGATTTCCTGTTTACAAACAAACCTTTGAATTTTACATCCTTGATAGCTTCTCTATGAACAAACTTCACCAAGTTGCCACAACGTAGAGTTTCATTTATTACCTGAATTATAATGATAGACGATGGTAGAAACCATAGATAAGAGGAAGTTAATTGGTTAATCAAATGAAAATGTATGTACACTATTAGGTTGAACTGAAGATTGAAGAATTTACCATAGTGGTGAATTCCATTTGCTTATAATCTTCCCAATTTAGGGGTTCCCCTTCCTTTTTGTTTCTCCTTATTGCGAGATGTTCATCCTGATCATAGGATAAATAGAAGTTTTATATAATGTAGAAGAGAGTTATAAAAGAGTTGTAATTGTTTTTACCTTCAAAGTTTGAAGAGCTTGTGGTGATTGGGCAAGAAAATAGACGAGCAGGGATAAAAGTCCTGAGGTTGTTTCATAACCTGCCAATAAAAGGTCCAGTAAAATGCTTACTTTCTCCACATCACTAATTAAGTCCTCTTTCATCAAAATCTCATCAAAAGGGTCTCCTTTTCCTTGCACGTCTTTTCTATTTTTCCTTTCATTTAGTATTTGTTTCAACGTCGATGAAATCCTCCTACGAGCCTGTTACCCCAAAAAGTATGGTTAAACAATTATTATCAAAGATTTTTTTCGAAATCTCTGATTAATGAGGGTTACCTTAACCGCCTTGGCATAGGGTGTCCAGGGGAGGTTAATTGGAATAGAGACAAATCCTTCCATAAATGTGAGGAAATCTTGTAATAACTGCAAACCAAGTGGCTCTCCCGGTTGCATGTCCAACAAATTCATCAACATCAAATTAAAACTAAACTGCAAATACAAATTACACATTAATAGTAATGTTATCCAGATGAAAAGTTATATTTTGATTATACAGACCTGTTTAGCTTGTTTTGAGAAGAGAATAAGTTGATTTCCTCTCCACGATTCCATTAACGAGACACATAATTTATCAATTTCACAGAGAAAATTGGATGTGGAACTGAATTTGTTGATGAGGCCAACTTCAATACGTCGCAACTTTTTGTGACGTTCAACGTCAGTGACAATCATCAAAGAGTGATTACCAAGAATGTCTCTAATTGGTTTAGGGTAGCTGCTTTGGAACAATTTTCCCTCTTTTTGAAGGATAAATTTGTTGAGCTCCAAGTCGCACGAAATTATTGTTGGAGACCCAAATATATACGATTTAAACACTTTTCCATATCTAAAATGCAAGCAAGAAAAAACATATGGGTCAAAACATGTCAAGTACGAACCAAAGTGAAAATTTAGGGCAAAAGTAAATATACCTAGAGCAACGTTGTTGCAAGAAGTTACCAATGGAGAACGATTTATGAGGGGTAAAAAAGCCAAATGCCTCTCCAACGAAGGGAAACCCCATGTTCCCACCAGGTAAGATTTTAGTATCATGTTTATAAAAACGGAAAAATAAATGGTGAAACGTGAATACAAAAATTACAGTACCAAATAAGAAAGATAACATCACAGGAAGGAGTAAAATCATGATGATATGATAAACAAGAAATATTTAGTACTACCAATTTATTTTAGAATGTGGAGTTATCATGCCCTCTAAATCATTTATATATATAGTTGGAGAATAAATGATATGATTATATTGCCAAAATTGTAATACATCTTGACTTTTTTTAGTTAAAAAAATACATTGACTTAATTCTATTTATGGAAACAATTATCCTTTTACCAAAAAAGCTAGGAATATTATTATTATATATTCACATTATAATATACATCATTAAATGTAGTAGACCTTATATAATCATTTAATTTAATATAATTATTTTTTCCCCTTTTTAATCATATACTCTAAATAATTATGACATTTTATTTTATAGTTGTAGAGTATTCAAGATTCATATTTATATACATAATCTCCTATTCACAATTTAAAAAATCTTTGAACATTGATTAAATTTTTCTGTCACATACATTCATTTAACCTTTGCGAGAATTTTAATACCCTGCTAAAAATGATTAAATGCTATTATTACCCCCTTTAGTGATGATTCTCATGAAAAAAAATTTGATTTTAATAAAATAATGGAATAAAAATAGAAAATTGATTACTTAGTACAAAAAGTCATTTTAATTGAATATTTCACAATTAGTTGATTATCATCATACAAAATGTCATTTTTTAAAATGTACACATAGTATGCTCATGACTTTTTGAAGAAAAAAAAAAGTAGGAAAGGCGAATAAAAAACAGAAGTTCAATTTAGCATTGCAACATTTGTTTTAATTAATTTACAAGATTAATAGATTAATTATCAATCTAATTCTTATTCAACAAATTTGTATTTATACAAATTCATCAGTTCTTAAAGATCAGTTGCTTCTGCCTCCAAAGCTATTATTAGTCCTTTCGGGAAGTCAATGTATGGGCACAACATTGGATATTCATCTTCTTTCATTGTCCACCTGCACAATTAAATGTTTTTATCATAAGATTTAATGTATAATTATAAAAAATTATCAGAATTTACAAAAAGATAAAAGGCAAACGAAAATGATAGTATAATGAGTTGTATATATTTAAACAATAAATAGATATATTTGAGTCTTTTACGTATTAAAATGGACAACTTTCACATATAGCAAACATGAAATTTATATTTGTATGTTATATCAAAATTTGCATAATTGCACTGCATAACAAATTTATATATGTATAATTCGTTGTACATATACAATTGAAACGAATTGTAAAAAATGAATTGTATAAAATGAGAGAAAGAGAGAAATTATATACAATTTGAATTGTATAAAACGAAAAAGTGAGAAAGGCAGAAATGAATTGTATAAAACGAGAAAGAAAGAAATTATATACAATTTGAATTTGTATAAAACGAGAAAGAGAGAAAGACAAAAAGAGACTTGTGCAGAGAATATACAATTGAATTGAATTGTGTAAAACGAGAAAGAAAGAAATTATATACAATTTGAATTTGTATAAAACGAGAAAGGCAAAAGAGACTTGGGCAGAAAAATAATTGTATTGACTCTATAATTATAAGCGTATAGGACGAAGATATTTGTATTTGCATGCGTATATACAATTTTCTCTCGCTTTATACAATTAGAAACACAATATATACAATTTTATTGTATAAAGCGAGAGAAGGAGAGTGATGAGAGAGAATATAACGGAGAGAGTGACTGAAAAACAATTTGCTATGAAACACAAATAAATTAAAGATAACTACTATATTTATTTTTATATTATTAGTTTGTCGTTCTATACAATTATCTTTGATTATATAATTGAGGACAAGATGACGTAGAAAAAAAAGCTGCTTCTAATTTGGCAAGCTCCGATCCAGGACACATCCTCACTCCACCACCAAATGGGATTACCTTTTTGCTTGTGGCTGCATCCTGAATTTCAGAAAAATAAATTGTGTTAGTAAAGAATATATTTTTTCCTAAAAAAATTCACCCTTAATTTATATATCGGAAATTAATATGCATCACCAGAAAAAGGTAAACTTATGGTCCATCTCCAAGGGTTAAATTCCGATGGATCGAAGAAAATATAGGCAGTATTTTCCATCTAATATATATACACATACGATATTTATATTAGAAATTCATCGAACAAAAGTCCTGAGGTTGTTTCAAAACCTGCAAAAAGAAGGTCTAGTACAATTAATGCTCACTTTCTCCACATCACTTAATTTTCCTTTCAATAACATTACCTCATTAATATTATTTGTTTCATTGTGGATGTGATCCTGCTACGAGCCTGTACTCACCACAAAGAATCATATAGTCAAACTCTAGACTTTTAATTTTTTTAAAAAAATTATGTAAGAAATTAGTACCTTGATGGCTTTGCCATAGTGTGTCAACGGAAGGTTAATTGGAATGGAGACAAAGCATTTCATAAATGTGAGGAAATCTTTTTTTATAACTCCAAACCAAGTGGTTCTCCTCGTTCCATCTTCAACACACTCATCAACATCTTACTAAAGCTAAACTGCAAATTCAAATAAAGTTATGTATACTTAACACATACATGTGTAAATTAGAACTTTCAATATGGGTTGACCCATCTTATCTAGGCGGGACTTTGAAATTTGATAGATCAGGCCGAGTTAGTCCATTTTTTGTGTGCGCCAAAAGAAGATCGATCCAATTTACAAGTACATGAGCTACGGACTTTGCCGGTCCAACCATCTTTTATTAAAAGTATATTTCTTAGGATAAATTACTAAACTACACTACATATGTTTACATATTTTCGTTTAATCCCCTACGCTTTCATAAAAATACAAAAATTCCTATTTTTCCCCTGCCAGATACTTTATTGTGAAAGAACCTAAACCCACCTTTCTCATCCCCAAAATCTTGCCTCTAATATTTTCCCATTACCAAATCAATTATCGAATTCAAAGCAATTTGATTTTCAAACAATTATATCTCTCCCTCTTTTCACTCACAAAATCAAATCAGTTATCATATTAATCAAAATTTAAATTTCAAGAGATTTTCTCTCCAATAAACTAATTTCAGATATGTAGATATTTTCATCTACATCAATTTTCTTCTTTGTTATTTCATCATTTTGTCTAATATATATGAACTCATTCATGTTGGATTGGAATTACCCAAATAGTTACACCTAATATGAATTAAATCTTTGATTCTAATAATCTCCAATGGACAAAAAAACAGATCTAAAAGGTTACATGATCCTTTAACAATGACAATTCAAAGTTCACAGAAGGTAAAAGCGAAAAAACATGTACCTGCAGCATCGAAAGCAAAAATTGAAAAAAAAAAAAAGCAAAAAGGCTGCCCTGCCGTATAACCTTATCATTCACAAAAAGAAATTTATTGCAGCATAGCAGGACTGCTCAAACGTATTAATGACCTAAAATAAAAATTAAATGGGGTCCTAAATAAAACTTTTATATAAATGATTTCTTCTAATTTTCATTTGATAATATAATTATTCTTATTTTTAATCATTTTTCATTAGATATAGTACTCCAAATATGTCAAATTTTTCTAATAATTCCTTCATTTTTTCATTAAATGTTTACTTTTTCTACAAATGCTATTCAATATTTGCTAAAGAATAATAATTTATAACCTATTATTATTAAAAATGAAGCCCCTTAAATTTGGGGCTTAAGACACATGTCTTTTTTTAACACTATCGAATCACCCCTAGCGGAAGGTCTTAAGGTTAAGTTTCACGTCGAAAGTTTGAATTCTAGTGTTAGCATTTTATTTATTTTAGATTCAGTTCCATCTTTTCACATTTTTCATAGTTTTTTCTTTTCGAACCCTCTGTACGAAAATTCTGAGTCCGCATTAGGTTGCATATTTTTGAAAAAATTGTATATAATAACAAACTAATAAATCAAATTAATTGCTATAACCACCCTTTGATTTAATTGTGCCCCGTAAAAAATTGTTTGCTAGTCACTTCTCTCCCTCAAACTTTCGCTCGCCACTCTCCTCTCTCGCTCCATTTCTCGCTCGCATCCTCTCACTTTTATACAAACACAAGTGCATAAATTTGTTTCTTTTTGTATAAAGTGAGAGGAAATTATATAAAAACATATATTTTTGTTCCCCTCTCCCAAATTGCTCGCCACTCTCTCTAATCTCGCTCGACACCCTTGCCTCTTTCGCTTATACAAACAGAAACGAAATGTATATTCTGTTTGTATAAAGCGAGAGAAAATTGTACATACACACACAAATACATATATTTTTGTCCTATACACTTATAATTATACAATAAAATTACTCTCCTGCCCAGTTTCTTTTGCCTTTCTCTCTTTCTCATTTTATACGGATTCAAATTTTATATAATTTCTCTTTCTCGTTTTATACAATTCGATTCAATTGTATATTCCCTGCCTAAGTCTCTTTCGCCTTTCTCTTTTTCTCATTTGACAAATTCAAATTGTATATAATATTTCTGTACACTTATAATTATACAATTTGTTTTATACACTTTATTTTATACAATTCTCTGTCCAAGTCTCTTTCTCTTTCTCGTTTTATACACTTTGCTTCAATTGTATATGTATAGCGAATTATACATTCATATGTTTGTTATAGAGTACAATAATGCAAACTTTGTTATAGCATACAAATATAAAATTTATGTTTGCTATACGTGAAAGTTACCTTGAAACTTTTTAATTTGGCATGCAGTCTTGACGGACGTGGGCTACCAGTCCAATTACCTGTGGGCCGAATATTCAAACACCAAAAAGCCCATATAAATTGAATCTCTTTGTCATCATCAAAGACAATTCGACATGTTTCTCACCATCGTTACACATTCCCATCCCAAGACATGGAAATCCCCAAACTTACACTTGTTTCCTCTTCCATCCAAAACCAAAACACAGCCCTCAATAATAATAACTCCAAAAGCCTATAATAATGAAGATAACAATTCAACAGCAGGAAAAATCAAACGAATGGTACTTACTCAACAAGGAAGAACCAAACTAAACATTTTACCAGACAAGGAATTTTATGCCTATCCAAGATTCGTCACACACGTCGATGATCGTTTCATTTCCAATTTAACCGATCTTTACAGGTAACGGTGTCAAAATTAAGTTCAAATATGTTATTGATTAATTTGACTCCCCTGCGCTGTTTTTATAGGAAATGTTTGAAACCTGAATTTGAAATTCTTGACCTTATGAGCTCATGGGTCAGTCATTTACCACAAGAAGTGAAGTACAAAAAGGTGGTTGGTCATGGACTTAATGCCCAAGAGCTAGCAAAAAATCCCAAATTGGATTATTTCTTTGTGAGGGATTTGAATGAAGATGAGAAATTTGAGTTTGAAAATTGTAGTTTTGATGCTGTTTTATGCACTGTCAGTGTGCAGTATCTTCAACAGCCTGAGAAGGTAACTTAATTAGATGATAAAGAGAATCAAGTGTCACCACAACCACATAAACATTGTTGCAAAAATGTGTGGTTGGTTATAAGCCAAACAATATAGTGATAAGGTTATATTATTAACTAAATTTTGCATTAAGAACACAATGTTTAGTTTCTATTTTGATCATTGTGTTACTAATACAATGTTATTAAATTTCAGGTTTTCGCGGAAGTATTTCGAATTCTAAGACCTGGAGGAGTGTTTATTGTAAGTTTCAGTAACAGATTGTTCTACGATAAAGCAATTAGTGCCTGGAGGGACAGTACAGGATACGGGAGAGTGCAACTTGTGGTACAATATTTTCAATGTATTAAGGGATTTACAGAGCCACAAGTGATTCGTAAATTACCAACTAATGATGATCAACAAAATAAATCACCTCTCAGTAAAATAATGCAGTTGATTGGGTTGTTATCAGCTTCATCGGATCCTTTTTACGCAGTTATAGCTTACAGAAACTTTAAACCAGTGCATGAATAAATTTGTATTCATACATTGTAATTAAATTCAATTTGTAGTAAACCTGGGTATATTATTGTGTAACATTTTTATTTTTTTATTTGTTCTATAAGCCCAACTTTTAATTAGTAACCACAAATGGCCTCGCTTGATTACAAATCTAAACTCGTTTGATATTTACATTAACAGCAGTACTTCACTTAATTAACTATGTTAACTATTTGGCATTCTAACCTTAATTGATCATCTAAATGAATCAAATCATTTTTGGTGTATTAAATAGGGATCAGAGGTGGATAAACTTAATTCACAGTGAATATGACTCGAGTATTTGTTTATCCTTTTAAAAGCTCGTTTAGTTAGTGGAATGAGATAAACAAAGATATTTTATGAGATTTTTTATACGAAATAATTTATCTCACGATTATATAAAATAATCATAGGACTAGGTAACACATATTCAGCTTATAATAGTCTTATGACCAATATTATTATTTTATCCAGCCAACTAAATTGTTATAATTTTTAATACAGGAACGATATTTATTTAATTGATTGAATAAATAGCTTCTTTGTCAGCGCAGGGAACATAGCCCGTATAGCTCAGTGGTAGAGCGTCAGTCTTGTAAACTGAAGGTCTGTAGTTCGATCCTGCATGTGGGCAAATATTTATTTTTGAAACTTCGAAGTCTTCCTTTTTGGCAAAACCCTAACGGATGCAATTCTCTGTTATTCTTTCTTTCTTTCTCTTTTTGATGGTTCTTGAATTGTTGCACTAAATGGCTTCAATTCTTCGGAAAGCTCTGAGGAACCAATTTCAATCTTCCACAACAAGAATCATCACTAACCTTAATAAATCCGAACCGGCAATCCTCAGTTCTACCTCTCCTCAACCACCAATCTTGGCTCATCCTTCTTGTAGCAGACGAAATCAAATACCCTTTTGTCTCCAACGCGAAACAGAGGATCCAAATCAGAAGGTTTCCCCTTGCCCACTGGTTTATCCAAGTTTCCCTTTCGGTGTTTTCCTAAACCCCATTTCTCAAATTGGGGTAGTTAAATCTGAGAATGATGGAGGCGTCGTCGTAGGAGAAGATTCACTTAAGATATGGGCGGATAGTGTGAAGAAAAAGAGGAAGAGGAAGATGAACAAGCACAAGTTGAAGAAGCTGAGGAAGCGCTTGAGGAGGAAGACAAAGGCATAGGTGAAATTTGATGTCCCTTTCCGGCATAATGTTAATTGTTTCTGACTGAAAGATAGTCCTTTTTCCCATGTCCTCGCCATTTTGAGTTGAAAATATTGCTCAATTTCGATTGCTAAATCATGTTTTAGGAATAATGAACCTTTTTCCTCCCGAGTAGAGATGTATGTTTGGGATTTATTGGTCAGGCTTTGTGTAACTGTTGCAGTCTAACATAGATAAGCCATCATCTTAGAAGCTTTTAGAGCAATTCTGAAGAACTTTTGAGAAATTCTTCCACATCTATAGATAGTTGTTGCTGTTATTTACAATTATCTGAACTCTGAAGAACACGGATCGATAGCTTCTTGTTGTTATTATCTACAATGATCTGAACACTGAAGAACTGATAATAATAGGTAAAAAAGAAGCTACACTGGATTTTCTTAATAATTTATTTTGCAGGGCTTATAATTTGCTTTGACACCTTCTCTGTTCCCTTCACATTTCACCTCTTTCTTTGGTGATTTGAAGAGTTTCATATCATTAAATTGCTTTTGTTTGATTTCAGCTTTATAATTTCTGTTTCTTTTTGTATGTGTCACTGTTCCATTCTTCTTCATTGTGTTAATGTATCCAGATTTTCCCTTGGTAAATTACTGTATGGATTTTGCTTTTTACGGCTATAAAGTATGTGCGTGCACTACTCTATCTCCTAACTTCCAATAATATTTCCAAATTGAATCCCTCAGAGCATGTGTTTGTAGTCGATAATCGATATAGCCAGTAAAGAATAATGTGCATACCCAAGAGTGTGATCTAAGGTCGATGACGTTAGAATAGAAGTCTGGAAGATCATGCTTCAAATCCTAGTTAAGACAATCAAAAAAGCTAGTCGGTTTCTTCCTATCCTAAAGCCTTGGTGGACAGAGTTACTGTTAAGTGTACTGTGGGGAAGATATAGGTAAACCGCATAATAATTGATGTGTTTGTGAATAGCCCAGACACTACTGTTATAAAAACAATAATAATATGAGAGAAGGTACAAGGTGCAGCTGTGTGTACTGCTGTATTACTGCTTTATTTTTTTTATCTGAAAAAGTAGAACTTTGTGTAAGATGCCTCACGTTTTGGAGCAAAGTAAATGGAATGATTTTGTTTTAATTGCAAGTTCCCTTATGATGGGGCACCATTTGTGGTCTAACTCGAGGTTTTGATCATTCAAAACAATTCCCGAAGGTGACATCATTCTAACTAAATAAACAATAATAATACATAAATGTGTTATAGTTTTCTTATCATTTGCGAGTATGTGGGTATATATCTGTCTTTACATGTAAACCATATTTCCTATGTCATTTATGTGATTTTTTATTGAGAGATATAGGTAGGCCATTTGGGTTTTGCTATGTTAACTCGGGCCTTTTATGTTCCAATTAATTCAAATACTGAAACTATGGTATAAAAACTAAGCGAAACTACTGTGAGGCGCAGAAGAAGATTAAGGCACTTGAACTCTTGATACTACCTGATTTGATCTTGATGCTTTATTTGTGTCCTCTGTTTGGTTGATAAGATCCTTGTGCCTTTACCTATGATTCCCTTGTATCCTGCAAAATCTTCCTTTGAGAGAAGAGCTACTATCCCGTTCATAGCTATAATTTTTGCCATACAAGTTTCCTGAGATTCTCTCGTGGTTTAAGGGTCCTACTTTGTAGGGAGTTTATTCACCTTAATCTGGACCTAGGTTGCTGAGCTAGTCCTTGGTAAGCATTATGTGCTAATTAAGTAGGTCGGTTGATTGAGTTATCACCCATATTGTGGACTTATAGGAAGGCAGTTGAATAGTTTCTTCTCACCCATCGTTCCTGGTTTCCCTTGACTCATATTTCAACTTATAATCGGCATTTCATTGAGCCAGTTCCGAACAAAGGGTGTTGTTATTGAATTTACTGAGGCTTGAGATGCTAAGAATGGTCTATGTCTCAGAGGTATCTGTCTACTTGGTTCAGCATGCTCATTGCTCTCCGACTTTAATTATTGTGACGTTCAGTCCAGGCCAGAGAAGATATATATAAAAAAAAAGATCTCTCGAAGACCTCAACCTCCTTGAGGATCTTGTAATGCTTGTTCTCGCTCATATGCCTTGGCCTACTTGGTCACACAGTATACAAGTATATTGGAGATTCCACATTTACCCATATAATATTTCCAGGTGCTAGTAATATCTTTTGTCATGTGCAGCAGAAGTATATTTTTCTGAATTTTCAACTAACACAATTGCTTGATGTCCAAGACGTATAGTTTCTTCTTTTATAATGGTTGTATCTCGGCTATCTTCCAGTGTTGTACCAGAAGAATAGCCTTTTATTCGATCCCTCTCACTTGATGATTTCTTTCCTTAGGGGTCGTTTGGTAGGTGGTTAGAAAGTAAGTTATACGACGTTTGGTGGCATTATTTTACTATGTATAAAATTAATAGGTGTTTGGTGTGGAATTTAGAAACCCGCATGTGTAAGTTATGAGGGGATGTTTTAATTAATGTCTGGGCTTGGATAGATTCGTGATATTCCTTCTTGAAGCTGTTGTTGATTTATTGTATGCATGGGGTTGGAGATTCAAGAAAAGGCAGAACTTATTTCATCATATGTTAGTGGATGATTTAGCTCAGCTGTTATAAATCTGGGCAAGTGATGATGATATTCCCATATCTTGTATCACTTGTTTGTAAAAATGAGTTTGGAACT